CCCAAATGCACCAAAAGACGTGACAAGCTGGTTTGTTTACTGCAGCCTTCACACCATATACTGGAATATATGGTTGGAGTGGAACAGGAGGATCTTCCAAGACAAGGCTGTTTCCAGTATCGTTATGGCTCGCAGGATTTCCCGAATGATTCTCGACTGGATAGTGGTGCATGGACGAGCTGATAAGCATGAATGCCAGACCTAGTTGGATGAAATTATGTTTAATGTTCAGCTGCTCTGCCCCCTCATGTCGTTCGGCCGACCTTTGCATCCCTTGTTTTCCCACCCTGTTTCGTTTTCTTGATTCTTGCCAGGCGTTTTTGTTTCTTTGATCAGTTTTTGCACTGTATCCTTACCGATTGGAACCTTTCTCGGTAAGGGCCTTGTATTCTCAGGTTCAGTGCTCTTGAACCTTGAACCTTTTTGGCTTTCTCCTGCTTAATTTAATTTATCATCTTCATAAAAAAATTATCTTTCTCTACCACCTTGAATGCGTTTGAACAATTGTGGAGAGTTTCTAACTTTCTGACCTAGTGGCCTCTGTTAGATTTTGCTGGCATGCGTTTTTAAAATTCGGGTAAAAAAATCATATTGATTGATAGAAAGATCAGAGATTACACATTGAAATAAATCCAAGAATAAAAATCAAAGATACGACACGACGTCAGAGGCAATAAAAGGACCTTCCAAACCACAAGTGGGCTACCCTATTGGTAATCCAACTGATAGGCCGTTAATTGCACATGTTTTTACCCCTATCCTTACACCATTTGAGATGTTAATTCTCGTGTTTTAGGCCGATTTCACGCTAGGTTGTGCTTGTTTGTGATATTTCAGGTCCTAGTACGTGAATGGAGGCTTGGGAGCGAGTTTGGGGGCGATTGGACAAAGATCGGACGCGTGGCGAGGCGCTGAGGAAGCCACACGGGCATTCCTGGAACCCACACGGCCGTGCAAGTCACCCTTGTGGCCGTGTGGTTTGTACCGAGAGCTCACACGGGCATGGTGGAGATTCCACACGGCCGTGTGTCCCTGGCCGTGTGGGAAGCCTGAAGCCAAGTTAATTGAGACGCAGCGTTTTGGAACTCACACGTGCATCTGGTAAGCCACACGGCCGTGTGGCCTGCCCGTGTGAGTCGGGAAAATCTGGGTTTAACCCAATTTCGAGCCACAAGTGAGAGAATCGACTTTTTGGAGCAAAAACAGAGCCCTAGAGAGAGAAAGTGCGAAGAACTCATCCTAAGAGTGGTTTTGGAGCTGGGTTTCATCAAATCAAGCTTGGAGATCATCATAGGAGTGAAAATCATCATCCTAGAGCAGATTCTTCCCATTTTATGAGTATGACTGCTTTGTATTCTGTTTTCCCCTCTCTCTCTATGGAGTAGAACTTTCTCTCACTTGGGCATGAAGAACCCTAGTTCCATGTGTTAGGGATCTTGATTGTAATGACTTGGGATTGTTATACTGCTTGATTATAATCGAATGATGCATGATTCATTGAATTAATTGAAGTCTGATAAGCTTTTCTTGATTTCTGCTGCAACCTGAGATAGATAGAATCTGATTAGGTTGTTAGAGCTACATCATTCGGTAGTAGTGGATTGGTTATACGAGAGTTAGTCAATCTACTGCTTTGTACTGGAATCTAATTCCAGTAGTGGAGTTCTGTATTCATAGCCTCAGCTTTCTTTCCCGGTGAAGGTTAGTCGCCTGCCGGGTAGTTGGACTGAGAGGGCTTGGTCAGCTCAAGAGATTCCAAGCTACTGTCGGATCTTCCGCAGTTTAATCAACAGTAAATCAACCCAGGGTAATTACAATTGAGACCTAACTAAGGAGCTAAGGGGACTCATTCCCGAGTGACTCTTCCTTGACTTCAGAAAACCGAACCATTTCCTGCTTTTTACTGCTTTTACTTTAATCAACAATCACTCGACTTAGTTTGCTAGATAATAGATAATCACGGAGTAGGTAGTAGATCTAGACTCCGGGTTGATAATAGAACTTGCTACTTTACTGCATTCCCGGACTGCGATTATACTTGATCGCAGTTTGGTGTTGTGTTTTGGCGTGTCACCGACCTACAAATCGAACATTAAAACCACTATATAGATTGTAGAGCCAACATACGCAGAATGAAGGAACTAAGGATCTTGGAGCGTACGACTAGGGTAGAAGCTTACGATTGAGAGAATTATTTAGGGATTGAGGGACTAAAATATATGAATTGATCGGGGAAGAAGAAGAGCGAGGTTGAGAAGGAAATTCGGCCGCCCATAGGTAGAGGGAGCCACCGGGTTCGGGTGAGGCAAATAGAGGGAATTTAGAGAGAGAGATATATTAGGGTTTAGGGAATAATTATTATGTTATTGCTTAATACGAAAAATCCCACCGGCACAAAATATATAGAACCGATAAATTCCCTATAATTACCCAAAATAAAGACTAATATCCAAATCATGCAAATATTCCCGATAATCCCAAAATAATGACCGAAATCCATAGAACCGAAATAATCCAAAATCGTGACTCAAACAGTAAGAGGACCAAAGATTTATGTTTTCTACAATCCACCTTCCTTGAGAACAACCTTGCCCTCAAGGGTCGTCAACGGGTTGCCACTCCTGATAGCGCCGTGGCTACTAGTGGACCTCCTGGGCCCGCCACCGGGGTTGCCCCTATTCCTGCACTGCTCGAGTTCTTGTTCCAGCGCCCTACTCTCCCTTTCTAGCTAGCCAGCTCCTTCTTTCTACCCGCCAGTCTAAAAGCAACTCGAAGTGAATCGGGCTCAAAGACTTTGACATAGGCTGCCAGCTCAGGGCGCAGCTTCGCCACACACAATCCCACCAGAGTCACCTCCGCGATGCCCTTGCACTAGTACCCTAATTTCAGAAACTCTGACCGATACTCTACAACGGTTCCGGTCTGCTTCAACTTCGTCAACTGCTTTGAAGCCCGCCCGTTTGACCTCCCAAACTGGTACTTAATCTCCTCCTGAAACATAGCCCATGTAATCTGGGCGCCTACTGCGGCATAGGACCTCTCCATCCAATCCTACCACTGCAGAGCATCACCCTCTACATAGAAGGACGCTAGGTACGCCTTCCACTCTTCCCTAGTCAAGTGGTTTCGAAACCACCTCTCTGCCGCATACAACCATATCCCCACGTCACTACGACCGTCAAACCTCGAAAATTCGATCACTAGAGGCTTAACCCTGAACACCAAGTTATCATCTCTATCAAACAAGGGGTTAAGATTATCATACCAGCCCCTGTTCGGTCCATAGTCTCAGGAAACCCGCTGGTAGTCAGGCACATCGTCGTGCCTCGTCTACTGAGAAAATGACCAGCCGTCTACTTCCTCCTCGTGCTCATCTCCTCATTCTGGCCTCGTCCTGGAGCCTTGCCCCAGCTCCAACCTTCTCTCGTGATGCCCGTACTCCACTTCCGGGGTGACTAGTGCAGGATATGTCAGACAGAAAATGCGGTGCAGGCCTCGAGCTCCCCAAGTACGCTCTCCCAGGATGTTGCCCGCTATAGTTCGGGTTGGTCGGTCTGACCCGATTCGAACCCGTTTGGTTCTGTTCCGATCAGATTTGTCGACTCTGGACTTGTCCATCTAGATCGGGTTGGGTCAGCAACCCAGCAGCCCTTACCCGTCCCTGGTGGGCATGGGTCAGCCCAAATCTCTCTTGGCCCGCCAGGATGAATTCATCCCCATATCTAGTTCGGCCCGACTCCAATTGAACCGTTCCACTTCCTCATTGGTCCACGAATACCGACCCGTCCTCATATTTGTGGGCCTTGGCCTTGCTGCGACTTGCCATCACTCCCGGGCCCGAGGGAGTTGGAAGTAATCCCAGCCCACCTCCTTGTTGGCTCACGCTATCGCCCGTACAGTTAGGGTTTCTCGAACCATGATCTCACCGCTTGATGCATTCCCTGCCGAAATCACCGTCTGCTGATGTGCTATGTCCTTCAAGTTTTGAAACAGCGACTCGTGTTGTGTGATCTTTGACAATCACATTTTCACAGGTTTTGGTGCCATGTTAGTCATCTCTTCCACCACACGCCAAACCGGACTCTGATACCATTGAAGGACCTAAAGATCTAGGCACATACGGCTAGGGCATAAGCTTGCAATTGAGAGAATTATTTAGGGATTGAGGGACTAGAATTTGGGAATTGATTGGGGAAGAAGAAGAACGAGGTTGAGGAGGAAATTCGGCCGCCCTTAGGTAGAGGGAGCCGCCGTGTTTGCTGAGGAAAAGAGAGGGAATTCTGAGAGAGAGATTAGGATTTAGGGAATAATTATTCTGTTATTGCTTAATACGGAAAACCCCACCAGTACAGAATATATAAGATTGTTAAATTCCCTGTAACTATATATCCAAAATAACGACTAATATCCAAATCATGCAAATATTCTCGATACAAAATAATGACCGAAATCTATAAAACCAAAATAATCCGAAGTCGTGACTCTTACAGTAAGAGGGCCAAAGATTTATGTTTTCTACACATATATAATTTCCTCAAGAATAGCCCCAACACGGCTATTCCTCGCATCCTTTACATTAATTTTGTCAATAAGCACTTTAATATCACTTTCAAATCGAATCTGAGCCAGTCCGATGTCCTGACACCATTGAATAATTTCACAGAGTACAATAGTGTAAACCACAAAGGAATCATCCATATTCTCAAGAAACAACCCTCTGGCTAGAAAAAACAGAATCTCTTTCATTCTTTCGGATTAACTCTTCTACTAAATGTGCATCACACATACCGTACCGACCCACATACAGATGAACCTCCCTAAATTATCTGTCATTTTGCGGTGACGTTTTAGATATGCAGAAGCCCGATGGACGAGACACACTACAAAGAAATGGGACTAGCCCAAGGGTTTCCTTTCTGCGGTTCCCCTAACCGTTGCTGGGCTTTTGTTATGTATATGTTTGGTAGCAAATCCTCCAGCGGTCATACACCCGCTGAGAAGCCCAACCGTTTAAATTATATTTCAATTTTTTCTTTGAACACAATTTCGAACAAAAATAAAGCACGATGAGGGGAAAATTGGATCCCGAGCTCATCAGTTCCGCGATGGAATGGAACAATTTCCTTTCTCCGAACCCTAAGATCGTAATAGACGAGACCCCCAGTCCCCGAGAAATTCATGGTCTTTGCCTCTCTTTTTCTGATCTCTACAGTTTGAAATCTATGTTAGATCTACTCAGATGAACCATCGTGTTCGGCCATATCTCCTTCTCCGACGGGAGTTTGAGCTTCAACAAATCCAGTTCCAAACGCCATTTCCCGTACCTATGGTTCCCCATCTTTTCATTCTCGTCCGCTGGTTAGAACTCGTGTATTTGATTTTCGCTTTCTCTCTGTTTTTATTTAGCTTTTCGGCGAAGTCTCTCTCGGTTGTGATGTCGGCCTCTAGCACGGAGGCGAATTCTGCAAGCTTTGAAACTTCAGTTTTGACGACGGAGATGAATTTCGTGCTTGCTGTGTGCGCTGAGGAGAAGCGGGAGGTGAAGCACTTGATCAATGTTGATGATTGTAAGAGGTATATAGGGTTTGGTATTTGCTTGTTTCAATTATTGATTTGTATCAATTATGACTAAATTGATAATGATTAAAATTGCGCATAAACCTCTTGGTTGAATTAGGAAGAGCTGAAAAGTATATTCTTTTTGAACTACACAAATCTGAGGTCTTGTGATGAGGATAATATTCCCGTAGAGCCAAGAGAAAGCTTCAATTCAAATTTTCTTATATTGACTGCAATTGAAATCTTTCGTGTTGGACCTTTTTGCATTTTAAGTCTTAGTGTAGCATGAAAGCACGAAAGTGAAGTTGAGCTGAGTTCCATGTTGGCAATTTGGGTCCTCTGTTTTCTTCTTGTTGTTGTTTTTTGATGGTGTTGATAATTTTTTCAAAACTGCTAATTACTTGGTCCTGGTTCATGTTATTATTGTTTGATGTAGATGCATGCTTGAGAATCCTTGACTGAAGCCTATTACTCAAGAGTCAATGAGTGATAATAACTAGTTCATGATATTGTCTGCAGAAGTTGGTAAGTGTTTATGAGTTTTGATTATTAGAAAGTTATGTGAAATTGAAGTAGTTCAATTCCTCATGTGCTCTAAGCTGGAGTTTAAGCTAAGCTTCGTGTTCTTTTTTAGCTTCATTGCTTTGACATTTGCACGTTTTATATGAATTCAATTGTTGGCATCAAGTTGATCAGAGAGGCAGAATCACCTAGTTTGTGTACGAATGCACTAATTAGTCCAACCATATTTAGCATTTTGATTTAAAACTTGATATGTTGCTGATACTCATAACCTTTAGATGATTGATGATATCATGATCTTCTCACTTCAGCTTTTAATATTCTTTTTTATTCTGTAGTGATGCGTGACAATGCGAAGATTGGCCAGCCAAAGAGTTCATAGCCTATGAGGATCTTGAGTTGCTAGAATTGGCCGAAATAACCAGGCAAGTCTACTGTTAGCCAATGATGATCTTGGTCAGAGTCGGCTTTTAGCATCAAAGGCAGAATAGGCAAGAAACTAAAACTTCATTTTCTACGAGGATGGGGATGAACTTTGTGCTTATGGTGTCAGGTGTGTGCTGAGGAGAAGCAGGATTTGGAGAATGATCAATCGAGGTCGGGCCTTCTAAGAGCTAAATATGATGTGGATGGGAAAAATGGATTAGTAGGTGAGAGTCAAGATTCCCTTAAAACTACCTAATTTTTATCGTAGATTAGCTAAAAGTAACTCTTCTTAAGTTTGCTGGTAATTTAATTAATCCAATGTCTGTATCATTTGGTAGGCTCTAGGGATTGAACGTGGAATGCAGCATATGTTTTGTGAAAGGTGAGAGACTTAAAAGAAGTTTATGCAGTCAAGTACTTTGTTGTATTATTTTGTTGTTCAAGTTTCATTTTATTGGATTTCTTATTTAACTGCAGCAAGAACGAGTCCATATGTTGGTTGAAATTGGAAATCTCTCAGCTGGTTCGTATGGGAAAACGCAGAAATTGCAAGATATTCAATCCTAAAATTTAAGACATTAGAGACACAAGTTCATTATATCTTATCTTGCAAAGATAGTTTAGCTACTTCTATCGTAGAAAAGTTTTGTATGGTTCCAGGTTATATGTGCATATAATTTCCCATTTATAATGATTCTATACTTTTAATTTTTGGCTTCCTCTCATGATTCACCCTTTTTCTGTGGTTTTAGAACTTATGCAGGTGTGAACTATAGAAAGTCGAAGCATTATTGAATTGCATTGAGGTCAAGGTAACATTTGACTCTATTACTTTATCTCGGTTATACTTGATTTGTTTTAAGTTTCTAAAGAGAAATGAATACTAGAGAATATATGTGAATCCCTTTTTTTTTTATTCTGCAGCAGAGCTGAGGTTCCTCAAGTATATTATTTTATAACTTCAAGCTTTTCTTTCATTTACATGAGTGTTGATGTGCATCATTCTTAGTGTTGCTGCTGTTGTAATTTGATGCAGAGCCAAAGTGTTGCACAGGGATGAACAAAGGGTAACTCGAAACATACTCAAATACCTTCTTTCGTGCAGTACCTGTTGTGTCGTATGTCATGCGTTCTTTTTGGAATTTCATATCATTATGCTCTTTGAGTTGAGCTTTCTTCCCTCATTATTCTAGGTCAAAATCTAATATTTGTGTAATCTCTTTTTCTATTTTAGGTTAGCTTTAACCAATACGAGTCAAAGGTTAGGATCATATTGTTGCAGTGTTAGGTGTTTCTTTGATACTTAACTAAAGTTTTCTTCTATGAGTTTTTCTCCACTTAGTTTCTTGTTCTATGTTTATTTTTCTTTACCCTGCTATTTAGTGAGACGACTTTTATTTGTTTTATGGCTTTGTAACAGGTGAATATGGTTTCAAAAGAAAGCAATGAATGATGTGGCTAATGTAGAAGACAACAAAGTTAGATATTGTGGATCTTGCTAGAACATTATACCTTTCATTGTGAATCATTAGTTGTAGAGTTTTTATTGATTTGATTTCTTTTTGATAATTAATGCAGTGAGTAATTTGTATTGTGAGTGAACTTAGCAATTTATGAGAAATTTGAAATGCAGAAGCAGGTAACAGGGGTTCTTGAAATTTATAAGGAAACTGATTGCAAATCCACTTGGTAAATTCGTCATTAAATATTAATTACCAGGGGTTTGGATTGTTGCTAAATACCGGATAAAAATTTCCAACAGCAGGGGATCTAAATCGGCTTATGTAACACCTATAACCGCTGCTAAGTATTCTATTTGACGGAATTAAAAAGATAATCGGCGGCCGTTTTGACCGCTTTAGAACCGTCGCAAGGACTTCCACCAGCGGTTGAGGTGACCACCGGGATACCTTTGCAGCAGTTGTTCTTGCTGCGGTTGTGCAGCGGTGACAAAAACCGCTGACGGCATATTTAGCGAGGGTTACTTTTGCTGCTAAATGGGGAAAAAACCCTGCTGTATGCATTTTATTTTGTAGTACATAAGTTGGACATGCATTGAGCTTTTGCAAATGAAATGACAAATGGGTGGTTTGATTCGGAACTCCGAATTAATTGCTAATGAATTTCGATTCTCCCGATTAGCAAGAATAACTGCGAACGACACTTGGCAAGTGCTTTGCATTCAGCTTGGTTAGTCTCGGACTCTCTCTCTACCTTTTTTTTCTACCTTAAACATATGTATAAACTTACCTCCGAACCAGGAAAGGCTTAACATCAGGTTGATTTGAGCCTAATTAATAACTATATATTAAAAATTATGTGAGAACAATAATGGATGTAGGAAGGGATAATAATTTCGACTTGATCCGTTTTATCCGATCTGTTTGGGGCGGGTATGAGTATTCTCATTGACCCAATATGTTCTGACCCGTTCTATTCTCGACCTGTTCTTTCCTAAATAACGTGTAATTTTAGTTGAATTATTTAGAAATTTTCTTTTATTACATCATATTTTTTGTTATTATAAAGTTGTAAATGAGTAAAAACCTCAATTTCTCCAACCTGTAATAAATTATGCGATTTGGACCCAAAATGACATGGGTTTGGGTATGACTATCGAGATACCCGACCCGGACTTGCCCATTGTCATTCCTAGCGTAGGGATGGTAATAAGATTCAACGAATATTTTTCTATATAATATCAATCTATTAAGAAAAAAATTTGTTGGAAGTCATGACTTATCTGACACTATATAACCTTAAATAATCCTATCCATATATTTTTTTAAACAATTATTTTTTTTTAAAATATATATGTTAATTGAAAATTCTTTGAGATACCGTTTGTAAATTGGAGGAGAAAATGTAAAAGATTTGTATGTGAGATAATATAATGGTTAAATTATATAAATGTCTGAAGTGATGTTAGAGAGTGAGAGCACATATATAAATATAACCAGATAAATTTGGTAGCGATAATTAAAATATTAAAATGACATCAAGTAACTATTCATGGCTAAGCAATTGAGTTAATCACATGCTTTGTAGTAAATGATTTTAAGTGTTATTATCTGCTGGCTTGGAACTTGAAAATATATATGAAAGTGAATGGCTGCCACTTGTAGAACGAAGCTTTGCCGCCCCTCTCTCTCTCTGTTTCCCAAAGCAATATAAAAGGAAACATTTCAAGTCCACCACTACCAGCAATAATAGGAAAATATCCTCCATTTCTTCATCACAGACTTGGCAGCGGAGGTGGAAGCTCTGCTACCTGTCCATGCCTTTTGGCGTCCCACGATGAACCAGTATTACGGGCACCTCCTTTCGGGGGTCCTCCTCAGCCTCCTCGTCGCAGGCTTCGCCGACGACGAATCTAGGATTCGGCTGCCGGCGCCCTCTAACCGCGGTAGCATGTGTGATGAGCTCATCCGACCGGCCGGGTACCCATGCATCGAACACACAGTATACTACATCTCTCTTTCTCTCTATTATATATATATTATATCATTCCGACCTCGTAAAACGATGTCAATCTATGATTAATTACCAAAACGGCAGCGCTGTCTGATTTGAGCATGCATGCAAACCGATCGATGAACTAGCTAGTGCCTTAATTACTTTAAATTCCTTCAATATTCCAATACTCCAATTAATTTGATATAATTAATATGCAATGCAGGCCCAAACTACGGATGGGTACTTGTTGGCTCTCCAGAGGGTTTCGTCCAGACATGGAAACATCACCTCAAACGTCGGGCAGGCTCCTCCCGTACTGCTTCTACACGGAGTCTTTATGGTAATGGAACATGCATGCAATTAGCAAACTAAACTAATCGATGTCATAATTTACGTATCCTTTCATGCATATATCGATCGTGCACGCAGGGTGGTGATTGCTGGTTTCTGAATTCTCCGGAGCAGTCTCTAGGCTTCATCCTTGCCGACCAGGGTTTTGATGTCTGGGTCGGCAACGTTCGGGGCACATACTGGAGTCGTGGCCATATATATCTCTCAGAGGATGACAGCGTATATAATATATATAATTACCCTTTTTCATCATATACGATTAAAGAATATATAGAAATGCTACATTAATTAACAACTTTATTCATATTGCAGAAATATTGGGACTGGAGTTGGCAGGAGTTGGCGATGAATGACCTGACGGAGATGCTACACTTCATACACGCCGAAACAAGCTCCAAACCTTTCATTGTTGGTCATTCTCAGGTCTCCTAATTTCTTCCTCGATCGTCTCCATCATCATTTGGATCCTAGGGCTAGCTCGCTATCTCTAGTGCCAGATGCTGACATGCATGCGTATTTGGCAGGGGACTATCATGACGCTGGCTGGTCTGACTCAGCCGCAGATCGTGCAAATGGTGGAAGCTGCCGCCCTCCTCTGCCCAATCTCTTATTTGGATCACGTTTCTGCCACTATTCCCCGTCAATTGGTCACTTTCCACGTCGATAAGGTCCGTCCGCATGCACTTTTTCCCTTCGATTTTCAGTTTTCTACAGAGAGACTGACTAACTAAAACATTTTTCTGTTGCTAATTCCACCTTTTTTTCGTCTTCTGACACGTGGTACGTACAGCTAATTGTTGCCGCGGGCATACACGAGTTGAATTTAAGAGGGTAAAATCTCTATTAATTATGACTTCTTTCTGCTTCTTTGTTCACCATCTTTTTTCCTTTGTAAGTTTGTTTATGTGATAATGTGACCATACGCGTGGTTGTATTTTTTCTGGAATCCACATGCAGCAAGTGGTCCAACAAGCTGTTGGGTTTCTTGTGTGATCAATACAAACATTGCGACAACATTCTCAACATCCTCACAGGTTAATTCCTTCGATCTCTTCCTTTTTTACCTTCCTCTTGGCATAACAACCTAATTAGGTAGATGATGAGATTCATGTTTGCCATAATTATTTGATAATAATGATCAATTCATTTTGCAGGGTATAATTGCTGCTTCAACAATTCACGCTTGGACTTCTACCTCGACTACGAACCAAACCCTACATCTGCCAAGAACCTCGCCCATCTTTTCCAGAGTACATATATACATGCTCTCACTCAATGATTGGCTTTATCAATACTTGCACGTTAAAACCAAGTTTCACATTATTTGAATGCGTGCAGTGATTCGGAAGGGCACTTTTGCCCGTTACGACTACGGGATATTCAAAAACTACAAGCTGTACGGGCAGACTACCCCGCCGGTATTCGATCTAGGGCGCATACCGGATTCCTTCCCGCTGTGGATGGGGTACGGTGGTCAGGATGGTCTGGCCGACCCGGCCGACTTCAACCACACGCTCAGGGAGCTGCGCGACCAGGCCATTTTGCACTACGTCGACCGCTACGGCCATGCCGACTTCCTCTACGGCACTCGAGCCAAAGAAGATGTCTACGACGACTTGATTGGGTTTTTCAGGTCTGTAATGGGCCGACACTCTGCCACTGCTTAGCCCTACTCATGATCATTCCGAAGAAACGAACCGGCCCGGGTCTGGCCTCGCCTCGCCGGCGGGCCTATCAAGCTGACAACTTTGGTTGTATGAACATGGGCACAAAATGTAAATAGAAAATATGCATCAATAAGGAAGCAAGCTCTAGCTTGTTTCGGGTCACACAACACCACCATGTTTGTGGCCCAAATGTTAGTATGTACGGAAATCAATGCCCATTTAAAAAAATGTGCCGAAGTTTCTGCTTGTACGTTAATTAAACTTGTCACTTCCTATCAACTTGATACTCAAAACTGATAAAGTCGCAATTTAAGGTGCGGAGAGGCTAAAAATATAGTGCCATAACTTCCGTCTTTCTAGTTAGTCTCAAATTTGGGATTTGGAGGGGGCACTAAAAGAAAAAGTGCCTTTTACAACCAATATCTTCACAACCAAACTAAAAATGGTTGCGAAAAGCCTAATATTTAGGATCAATTACATTTTAGTGTCAAATCACCGATTCCGACTCCTACTTCTCCTCCCTCCTCACTTCTCAATTCCTCCTAATCCCACTTTGCTACTCCAGTCTCTCGAGGAAGTGATTCTGGAAGGTTGTTTTGTTCGATGATTTGTCCCTGTCGAGTCTTAGAAGGTAACTTCATATCTGATCCGATTTCTAATGTCTTTCTAAATTGAGCTTAGGTATGGCTACGGTTTCGGATTTGAACTGGATTTGAACTTGGTCAAGGTATAGCTCCGATATGTTGAAGCTCATCAGGAAAAGAATATCACCAGTGTCGTTCCAATCCCTAGCTAGGGCATCCAATCTCATGCCTAGCCTCTTCGATTTCAATCTTGAATTCGCTGCCGGGGAACCGCGATGTCATTTCCTTCGTCTACCTCGCTGCTTCACCACCAACACCATAATAGCGCGGTCGTTCATTCTTTGTTAGAATGGTCTCTCCTCCCTTCGCCTTAACTAAACATTACTAGTAAGAATAGAGAGACTACCTGCAAATAAGAAATTGGTCAGAATCTATCCAACATCAGACTTATTTTAATATGATGCTCGTCATTGGTGTCAGTTCTTTCAGAAGGAGTGGATTTTACTTTTTATTCCATTTTTCGTTTGTTCCAGGAAAGGATAGAGGGCGAAGTAAGATGGAGAGAGGCATGAGGGAGATGGAGCATGGATTTGGTTTGGATCACTTTTCAGAAGAGAGGAGAGCGAGAGACAAAGTGGGATGAGAGGGGATATGGAAAAGTAGAGACAAAGACTTGAGATTTAACATGGTTCAGCCTATCAGAGAGACTTTACTACACGGCGGTAACGGTGCTTTTTGTTTCTTATTATACAGATGCCATAAACCCTAAATCAGGGATATATAGCAGGTATGCACAGGCCTAACCACTTAGGCGTGTGCACCACAAACCGTCCAGTCCCCATAATATACACATATACAAAACAGTCCCTCACTTTCACCATATTTACAAATTACATTTCAATACCCCCCTCAAACTGATGGTGCTTGACGCAACATCAGCTTATGTGAAAGAACCAATGTCGGCTGGTCGAGACAACTTTAGTAAGGAGATCTACAGGCTGTTCGTCTACGGTCAAGTACTGGAGCCGAAGCCATCCAGTAAACATTACTTGATGCATGCATGTAGTGATTCGGAAGGGCACTTTTGCTCGATGCGATTACGGTATATTCAAAAACTACAAGCTGTACGCGCAGACGACTTCGTCGGTATTCGATCTGGGGCGTATACTGGATTCCTTCCCGTTGTAGATGGGGTACGGTGGTCAGGATGGCCTGGCCGACCCGACCGACTTCAACCACACGATCAGGGAGCTGCGCAATCAGGCCAAGCTGCACTACGTCGACCGCTACGGCCATGCCGACTTCCTCTACAACATTCGAGCCAAAGAAGATGTCTACGACGACTTGATTGGGTTTTTCAGGTCTGTAATGGGCCGACAATCTGCCATTGCTTAGCCCTACTCATGATACACGAACCGGGTCGGACCGGGCCAGATCTGCGGGCTTAATCACTACCAAGGGCCTATTAAGCTGGGCTTAGGATAGGGTGAGTAACCCTTTGTTACTCACGCGTGAGTAACCACATAGGGACCGTCGATCTTGGCGGGACGGATCTTGTGGCTGTGATTGATGCGGGGTTTTTTGTCCACGGTCAGGGGCATTTTTGTCCGATATTTTATATTTGAATTAAATGACTTTCCCTCTTTGTCCGTTGCAAATCTTTCTGTGCACGAGTTGGATTCGGATTTTGGAGAGAGAAACTACGAGCAAGGGGAGCAGCAGCTGAGAAATAAGGACGGCGATTCTCCATTGTTGATCGACGGCGATAGAAACTGCGAGCAGCAGCTTCGAATCGAGCTTTCTGATTCTCCATAATTGATCGACGTGTGCGCGAGTTGGATTCGGTTTTTGTAGAGAGAAATTGCGAGCAGCGGCTGCGAAACAGGGGACGGCGAATCTTTTCTGATTCTCCATAATTGATCGACGACGAGGTTAGATATTAGTTTTTTTGATTCTTTCTGTTTAGCTAATCGAGTTTTCTGTTGATCTCTGGTTTCGTTGGAGGTTTTTGATTGCTGCTAGTCGAGCTTGTTTATGTTTAGCTAATCGAGCTTGTTCATGTGTTATGTTCTTTGTGTTTTGGTGTTTTGGCAGTATTCTGGTGAGATGAGTAACGTAAATTGTGGCGATGTTGTTCCAATTGATAGATCTGGTTCTTCAACCAGCGTTGTAGGATCTGGTTCTTCATCTAGTGCTGTTGGAACTGCTTCTTCATCTATTGATCTTAGATTTGATCATTCAGCTAACTCTGGTGAATCAGGAGGTAAGATATGCAAATTTGTTTGTTTATTGAAGTTTGTATAGTGTCGTAATTTGATTTTACTATGCCTTATCATGTGGTAATTGATTTTATAGTACATTACCATGTGGTAAAATGTGGTAATTAGGAAGTTAAATGTGATGTTTCTGTGTGATAATTGATTTTACCATGCCATACCATATGGTATAGTGTGGTAATTTGATTTTACCATGCCTTATCATGTGGTAATTGATTTTACAGTAGATTACCATGTGGTAAAATGTGGTAATTAGGAAGTTAAACTTGAGAATTCTGTGTGATAGTTGATTTTACCATGCCATACCATATGGTATAGTGTGGTAATTTGATTTTACCATGCCATACCATGTTGTATAGTGTGGTAGTTTGATTTTACCATGCCATACCATATGGTATAGGGTGGTAATTTGATTTTACCATGCCTTATCATGTGGTAATTGATTTTACAGTACATTACCATGTGGTAAAATGTGGTAATTAGGAAGTTAAATGTGAGGGTTCTGTGTGATAATTGATTTTACCATGCCATATAGTGTGGTAATTTGATTTTACCATGCCATACTATGGTGGTAACTCTTGTATCATGGCTGTAATTATTGGTATACATTGATATTTCATACCGTTGTGGTGTGGAATCCATTTAATATGTTGTTTCATAATGTTTGTAGGTTTCAATGGTATAGATCCTACTGTTCGTGATTCTTGGAAGGACTTAGAGTTCAATACACCAGATGATGCATATAATTTTTATGTTGATTATGGGAATCATGAAGGTTTTGGTGTGAGGATTTATAACCAATCAGCGTGTCCGAAGCTCAATGGTGGTTCTTCAGCTGTATATTATATCAAGTATTGTTGCAATAAGGAAGGTTGGAAAAGAGGTAGCGAGAATAACCCTGATAATGCAGGTGTTGTTGATACGACAGTTCGTGTTCGTAATGTTCCAGAACTCAGGGGTGGATGTAATGGTGCTTATATACGACTGAGGTGGTTTAAAGAGTTTAAATGCTACAAGATCTATCGTTGGTATAATGTGCACAACCATGACATGATTCCTGAGTCTCTGCGTCACTATGTGAGATCCAGCAGACGAATGGCTCCTGTGTATAAGATGCTGGCAGAGGTGAATGATGCTGCTGGTATTGGTGTGACTTCTTCGTATAATGCAATTAGTAGGGCTGGTGGTGGTCGGAAGTTTGTTGGGTTCACAAAGAATGATTTGAAGAACCATCTGCGAACGGTTAGGACGTCATCAATGGAGTATGGTGATGCGACTGCATTGCTTGAATACTTTAGACGTCAAGCACAGCTGGATCCTGGGTTCTTTCATGAGGTGGAGGTTGATGTTGAAGAGAACATTGCTAGTATTTTTTGGGCAGATGGGAAGATGAGGATGGATTATCATTATTTTGGTGATCCAATTAGTTTTGATACTACTTACCGGACTAACAAAGAGTATCGGCCACTAGGTATGTTTTCTAGTTTGTTGTTTATTATTGTGTTTGTTAGTTTGTATGAGTATTATTATTATCATTCTGTATCATGTTTTTTCTTGTTCTTAAATGTATTTTACCATGTGGTATGTGTTGGTAACAAGGTTATTTGAGGTGGTTTTTGTGCTTAAAAGTCTTTTACCATATGGTATGTGTTGGTAACAAGGTTATTTGATGTGGTTTTTGTTCTTAAAAGTATTTTACCATATGGTATGTGTTGGTAACAAGGTTATTTGAGGTGGTTTTTGTGCTTAAAAGTTTTTTACCATATGGTATGGGTTGGTAACAAGGTTATTTGTGTTGTTTTTTGCGTTGTTAGAAGTGTGTACTATATGGTAGTCTGGTGTGGATTGTTTTTTTTTTTGTTCTTAGAAGTCTTTACCACATGGTATGAGTCTTTACCATATGGTATGGGTTGGTATTATTGTTATTCGTACCTTTTACCACATGGTATGTGTTGGTAGAATTGTTTTTACTCACATTTTGTTATGTTTATGTAGCTTTGTTTGTTGGTTTCAACAATCATCACCAACTGACTGTCTTTGCGGCTGCTCTTCTCTATGATGAAACAACAGCAACATTTGAATGGCTTTTCGATCAGTTTTTGAAATGCATGGGAGGTGTGAGACCGTTATCAATGTTTACTGACCATGCTGCTGCAATTGCTGCTGGTATAAGGTCTGTTTTCCCAGATTGTTTTCATGGGTTGTGTACATGGCATATTGCTCAGAATGCAGTTGTTAATCTGGGAAGTTTGTGTGACTCTGACTTCCTTCGTGAGCTTAGTTATTTGATGTATAATGCTGATGATGAGGATGATTTTGAGTATAATTGGAAGAAGATGATTGAGAAGTGTTTTCCTGGGAAGGGACCTTTGGGACACAGTTGGTTACAGGGCATTTACAAAGTCAGGACGAAGTGGTCTTCAGCCTGGGTGAATTGTCATTTTGGTGCGGGAATGAAGAGTACCCAGCTAAGTGAGTGCTGCAATAGTAATATTCGACATTACTTGCAGTCAGAGTTTAGCGTTAGTAGGTTCTTGGTGCACTTTGAGAGGATGCTTGATAATAAGAGGGATGCTGAAGAACAAGAAGAGTACTATGCGTTATCTAGGTTGGCTGATTCTCGGTTTTCTACTAGCCCTATTGTGAAGCAAGTTGCTAATGTGTATACGCCGAAGATATTCAAGTTTTTCCTGGATCAGTACAAGGAATCCCTTGCGTATAATATTTTTTCCAATACGGAGATAGAACCAGAAGACATGTAGGACTGTTTGATGTCTTCATATTGGAGGATGACCTTACAAGGTTGGATAGTAGGGTGTTGAAGGTTGATTTTGAAAACGGTGAAATCAAGTGTTCGTGCCGTAAGTGGGAGTCAAGTGGTATGATCTGTAAGCATCAAATTAAGGGATATGATATGTTGTGGTCTACAACGTGCAATCTGAAGTTCCAGCACATTCCTAGCAGTTTGATTTTGAAGCGGTGGACAAGGGCAGCAAAAACTGGAGGGAACTTTTCTTTTGAAGTTCCGTCTACTGATAGTCCATCGAAATACCGTTCTCGTCTTTTCAATCTGTCAGCTGTTTCTGCATCAATGATCAGCAGGGTTGCATTGGATGATGATTTGTATAAATCAGCCATGGCCTTCATGACTGATTTGATCAAAAAGTGTGAAGCCCTATCGATTACTGAACCTGCTGGAACAAGCACGTCTTCTAACGGTGACAGTAAGTTTTTTTTAATTGTTTAGAGTTTGTTTTTGTTTTTGTTATCTGTCATTGATTGTAGTTTGTTTTTGTTATCTTGGTATAGATGATGTACCGGTCCAAAAAGTGAAGGGGTTTAAGCCTAAAAAAGATTCATTCAAGCCTTCGAAACGACCAATTCCAGCTGCGGAGGCTGCAAGGGCTGTAAGCAAGAAGAAGAGAAAAACTAGCAGGCTTGAGGAGGAGAATTTGAAGGCTGTTGAAGAAAGTTTAAGGCTGAAGCTGTAATAGTTTTCTTAGAGGATTATCTGAATGAATGGTTGATGCTGGTTGAGTTGTTGAAGCTATTTTGTTCTTTTGGATGGGTTTTTGGTTTTGTTGGATTAATTTTACACTGTTATACCATGTGGTATAATGTGGTAATTTGATTTTATCATGTCAAACCAGGTGGTAAAATGTGCTAGTTTGGAAGTTGAATGTGAAGGTTCTGTTTTATAATTGATTTTACCATGCCATACCATATGGTATATTATGGTAATTTGATTTTACCATGTGGTAATGTGTGGTAATTGATTTTACCATGTGGTAAAATATGATATTTTGGAAGTGGTATGTGTGGTAATTGATTTTACAGTGCATTACCATGTGGTAAAATGTGGTAACAAACTAAAACACAGCAGGACTTATGGTTTTTTTGCTATTTTACAACATGAAACCATAGTTTACCACACATTACCATATGGTAACAAACTAAAACACAGCATGACTTATGGTTTTTTGCTATTTTGCAACATTTTACAACATGAAACCATAGTTTACCACACATTACCATATGGTAACAAACTAAAACACAGCAGGACTTATGGTTTTTTGCTTATTTACAACATGAAACCATAATTTACCATACATTACCATA